TCAATAGCATACCTTGAATATTTCGCGTTAGTCGAGCCAATAGGGCGTATCGAGGTTTATCCAATTTCGTTTCGGGTACATGTTCAGGATCACAATTTTCACTGATCTTTCCGATATCGTATTTATTAACTGATTGTAAAAGATTGGTATATGTATCTGTCGACCGTTTTTGCAACTTTTCTAATTCTTGTTTACTGATTTTGACAGTTGAGCTGTCGTCTTTTCTTTTAGTTTGTTCTGGTTTTCCATCGGTATCGGCTCCGACTTGAACGCGAACAACACTACTTTGTTTGATTCCTACTTTCGGTAGCGATGTTTCTGGGTCAGAATTTTTCACAAGTCCTCGATCATCGATATCTAAAACTACATCACGGTTGGCAGTCATCGTAGGTACTGTTGGCGATGGTGATTGATCACTATTTGGCTTCTGGTTTGTGTTCTCGTTATCATCATCAAGGGCGGAATTCAAATCACTTTCATGATTCGATAAGAGATTATCGAGATTAATTCCCAATTTGTGCAACGTCGGATTACCGATTATTTCACCTTGTTCGAATTTTGAATCTTCGAATCCTTGTAAAAGCTGTTTGATGTTGTCCAGATTTGTTTGTTGCTGTTGGCCTTGTGTTTGATAATTCAGATCAGAAATATTACCATCTTCAGGTACATCGTAATCATCGACCAATTCATTTTTCTTACTCAACTTCCACATTTTGCGTAAAGATTCTGACGCACTTAGCTTGTCCAAAACTTGTAACAAATCCTTCTGTATTTCTTGACATTTTCGTTTTATGTGACCACTGATATCGCCCGAACATTTATCAATCGATTCCAAAGATTGATACAGCTGTAACGATGTCAAAATAATGTTGGGCAAGGTTGTCTTGGCTAAACTATCGATTTCTTTTCGCATATTGTTCGCCGCCATTTGTTGTAGTGTGTTCATTGTCGCTTGAATTTTATTCTTGACCATTGTCGCTTTTGTCAAGCACGTGATCGTTTCCGACAAAAGCAATTCATCTTGCTTGACAATGCTCGATACTTGTTTTTCTGACTCTTGATTTAATTCAGCGGCTTGCGATGCTAGTGTTTCCACTTCGACTTGTGCTGCTTCCCTAGCTTCTGCACTTGTTTCACTCAATGGCAAAGAACTCTCTGGAGCCGTAGAAAGGGTATCAGAAGGTATTGTTCCGCTAGGTTCAGTTAATCCTTCTTCTTCCAGTGGAATACAGGTTGTTCGTCTCATAGGATTTTGATTAGATGCTGCTCTCGGCGTTGGTTCGATTCGTCCAGTATGATGAATATGTGCAGGAGTGTCGACGCCACTGCTACTGGCTCCACTTGGGCGGGTGCCTGTTCTACTTGGGCTAGTGCCTGCTCCAGCGGGGTGGGTGCTGGTTCCACTCGGACTAGTGCTTGCTCCAGCGGGGCGGGTGCTGGTTCCACTCGGACTATCGCTTGCTCCAGCGGGGCGAGTGCTGCTTCCGCTTGAACTGGTGCTGGCTCCACCACTACTGCTACTGGCTCCACCGCCACTGCTACCTGTGCTGCTACTGGCTCCACCGCCACTGCCACCTGTGCTACTACTGGCTCCACCGCCACTGCCACCTGTGCTGCTACTGGCTCCACCACCACTACCACCGGTGTTGTTACTGGCTCCACCGCCACTCCCATTACCATCTGTGCTGCCACTGCCCGCGCCAGCGCGTCCTCCACTACTGCCACCACCACCCCTTCCAGCACCAGTGCCGCCACTGCCACTGGTCCCGCCAGCGCTTCCTCCACCACTGCCAGCACTACCTTCTCCGCCACCACCACCTTTTCCACCAAATAGTCCCTTGAACACATTGAAGAGGGTGAAAGCAAGGCCAATCGCTGCTAATACAAGTCCAACAGGATTTATAGCCATCAGAAGCGCAGCAATACCGCAAATGGTCTCAACAGCTTGCTTAACCTCTTTAGGTAGGCCGGGTATGAGATCTACAAGCAATGACAATGCGGCGACAGCAATTGAACTGATTTGTGCCGCTTTGGCAGCTAATGTTGTTGCTTTGGTCAATGCTGAAGCGCTGTCGACGATTTGTTTAACATTCTTGTAGATAGCTTTGGCTTTTTGAAGAACGTCGACTACTTTTTGATCAACGCCAATGGCTACCATAACGTCACCGACTAGATCAAGATATTGGTCACCAGATAGACGCTTCCCAGATAATAATGCTTTCACTAATGGTTTAGCAGTGGTCAATATTTGTTGTTCTTTACCGCCAATGAGAGAACCAGCGACATCGATCATGTCTTCGTAGCTAATCGGTTCATTATTCAGTTTCTTTTGCAGTAATGGCATGGCTAATTGAGCAACACGACCAACCTCTGCTGGAAGAAATGCAGTGACGGCGTTCACTGAATGCTCGAGTATCTTTTGTGGATTTTTTAATTGAATCGCATCGATTAGATCCGTCACTACCTGGACTTTTTCTGCATATTCTGGTGGTAAAAACGATGCCCCTAAATTCAATGCACGCTTCATTAACTCTCCATTCGCCATATCTTTATGATCAATAATTGTTTGTAGTTCTCGAGCAATGCCATAGACTTTTCGAATTTCTGGTGGTAAACGTGATTTGAGTTCATCATCATTCAAGAGACTGTTTAATGCTCGTAAGGGATCATTGGTTTGTGAAAAAACTTTAGCAGCTGAACTTGCTATTGTCATAGCTGTGTCAATTTTCGTGGCATATTCTGGAAAGAATTCATTCGATATCGAATTAACTGCTCCTAGAAGATCTTTGTTTCGTATTTGATTGATGGCATTTTGTGCCACGGCTAGTGACCTAGCCGTTTTCTCATCGACAACGGCCATTGCTGCATCAAAAGCACAGCCAAGTAGATTTTCACTGGTTATTGGTTGCTTTGATAGTTGAGTTAATGATGCTACAATCTTTTTTGCTTGTTCCGGTACATGAGGAATGAGTCTAAGAGCATCTTTGACTGCATTGATTTCTTGATGATTCGTTAGTTTTTCATAAACATTGGCTACAGTTTGAAGCATAGTGGATGTTCGCTTTGGTGCCATGAATGACGCTAGCTCTAATGTTGTTTTGACCACATCTTTTATTTCGCACGTTTTCAACTCATTGAGATGTTCGATTGCTTCAAAAACTGCCTGTGCCTGCTTGTTCGGTACTAACTGTGACAGATGCTTCAATGCTTGTAGTTTATCAGTTGCCAATGAACCCAAAGCATTGAACGACACTTGTAGAGCATTTCCTGTTTCCGGTCCGTATAAATCAGTTATTGTTCGAATGATTTGATTTTGTGCTGCCTTTGGCGAAGTGAACTGATCGATACCGACATTGAATCCCAATCGAAGATTTTCTGGAAGCAAAGCTGCGATCGATTTCAGTGCTTTTATTGGTTCTTCTTTTCCGCAATCAAGTATTGCTCCTAAACTGATCTCAGATGATTCTGTATCAATTACTTGTTGTGCCAATTCGATAATCTTTTGTTTAATGTCACCGTTGAATATCTCCGGAGCAGATAATAGGATACCTTTCGCATGATCGGACAGTTGTTCGTCAGGTATGAGACCGAGAAGTTCAGTAATGGTACTCCTTGTATCCCTCTCATTGTTATTCAAATTTTGTAGTGCATTTGAAATTGGTCGCAAATACTGTTTCGTGGTTTCATCGGGAATGCATTCGATTGTCTGATTTACAAACGTTGAAATATTCGATCGGGTAAGTTCACCGTTAAGAATTGGCATTAGACCTTGATATTTTTCCAATAATGTGTTGAGATGATCGAGAGGTGTATTTCTCATATTAGTATCGTTCAGAGAACATGTCAATTGAATGCCTAGTTCCAGTGTTTGCAATTGTGTCATCGTTCCTGATCCAATTTTCGAAACGATTTGTATTAGTTTACCATTTGCCCGTTGTTCTGTATCCGTCGGATTGATTAGATCGCAGAGATCAGAGATATTCTGCATCAATGTTACCATGTTATTATTCTGCGTATTAGTCAATATGGCCATCAAATGATGTTTGAGTTTTTTGTGTTCGGTCAATTTCAATTCGTCGATGAGAGACTCTTCGAGTTTCATCAGAAAGTTCGGAACCGAGGCTGGTGACGATAATTGAGATCGAAATTCGACAAAATTCTTTCGCATTATTTCCATCCAAACAATTTGTTTTGATTTCAATCGACGGCAATGACACGTTAGTGATAATACCGCTTCGAGAAGATCGAATGGATCGTTTTGTTGAATTAACTTCTTCAAATCAGACGACAACAGTCGACAACGTTCGGTGCCAAAATTTAACATTGAAGAAATGATGCTTATGTATACTTGATTGTTACAAGTCGATGTTTGATCCGATAATAGAACGATAGTGAGCACATTTTTCAATGAATCGACAGTCATTGAATCAAGATGTGGCTTGAGTGTTGTGCATAGATCATCGATAAATTTTGACCAATCTCGAGGAATACTGTCCGATCGCTTTGTTAAATTTGATATTAGACTTTGTAGACCATGAAGTGTTTCTTTTTCTGCCGAATTCAAATCGGAAGACAATGAAGCAAGAACGAATGGCAACGTCGATAGATCGTTCATTGAGGGTTGACATTCATTGCTTGATAGTTTTACGCTTAATTTGACATATTCGACGAGATTTTTTGATTCATCCGTATCGTCTAATTGTTCTTGAATGTAGTCGAATACGGAAGTAGGCGATAGAGTATGCTCCGAAGCAGCTATGGCTTGTGTGACAAGTGGCGAATTGGCCAATGAGAGATTGGATTCATACATTTTTTCCAAAACGACTTTCTCATTGATCGGTTGATCGTTCGATGCTAACTGCAATAGTTGATCAAAAAAGGATAACGAATCACGATTCGATTCAGTTGTCATTTCTGATAGTAGCGTGCCAATTGCTTTTTCAGGATTTCCGGTTTCTTCGACCGTTTGAACAGTGTTAACAACTTTCTTCATGAAAGCTTTCAATTGCTGTTTTTCTTTGCTCGTTAGCGTCTGTGTCTCGCTCTGATTCATCACCAAATCCGATGCATAATCAAGTAGACGTTTTTTTGCTGATTGCTCCTTGGTTTTATCTTTGAGACTATTCTTTTCGTATTCAATCAAATGGCCAAGTATTTGCTCATGTTCAGATCGAGAATGCCCTTCAATTAGAATCGATAATTTTTCCGCACAATCCATTGCTAGTAAAAGATTTTCCGCTTGTGTCTTGTCTTCTGTACCGAGAATGGCTTTTGGCAAGTGTTCATTCAAAAGTATCTGCAATTTTTTGTAAAATTTTCTCCATTCGATTGTTGACAACGGATCAAATGTTTGTTTGATATTTTCATAGATAGGATTTGTGTATGCCGTTGCTTGATCAACATCGGATTCGATAGCTGACAGAATCAGATCGCTACTGAAATCATCGGGAATGTCTGTACGTTTCGGATCTGAATGCATTAAACCGTCTAGTAAAATGATGATCGGAGTCAGAGCAGTTGCTGCTTGTTGATGATATTGATTTGTGTTATCTTCGAGTAGTTTCATCAATCGTCTTTCGGTTTCCGATTGTGGCAAATGATTCCATGACGATGGAAGATCAATTGGAAGAATTGTCTCTGTCGGATCTGGTCGACTTTCCACGCGTCCAGTAACAATCAATTTATAGTTCTTGACCATATTCGCTGACGATCGAATTAGTAGAGGTACATCAGTTTTGAAATATCCTGTAGGTGCAGTCTTTTTTATTTCTACCAAACATTCGATCGTGCGCGGATAAATAGTCGATAATGCAATACTCTTTTCATCATTGCCAAATTTGAATGTAAATATTGTGTTGTGCTTTGGTTCGTATTCCAATTGAGCAGGTAGATTGCCGTCATTTTTGATTGTAATTGAAAACGATGGAACTTTCGATCCTTGCATTGTTGTACCACAATGAAGAATATCATGATCGAATGAAATAATCGGAGCCATGCGTTTGCAATGAAATGGAAAATGTTGAATTCGTTGTTGACAATTCGTCTTTAGAACAAAGTCGCATTCGAATGAAGCTAACCTCTTTTCGACTTTGTACGTAAAGGAACATTCGATTTGTTGTCGAGGTAAAATTGTCAATGGAAATAGAAGATGATTATCAATGGAGACATGTGGAGATGTTGAATGCAAATCATCGATAAACAGTTTAACTGAACCTTGATTGTACAAAATGATTTTGTCAACTTTTTCATTGGCTTCTTCGTCAACTTGCATTTTCATAAGAGAACTAAATAGATGTCGATCGAATTCTGGCCAGCCGGCTGTCGTCTTGAAACTCAATTTGAACGATGAACGTTGACTTGCATAAGGAAAAAGTAAAGTGATCAGATTGTCAATTGTTCGATGTGCATCTTTGACTTCCAATTCAATTTTCAATGTTAACGATACGTTCGGTTCAAGAACGACTTGTCGATGTGAAAGTGCGACAACGACGGATGCCGAAGAATTTTCCGGTCCCGCTTCCATCGTCATTTTAACATCGCCCGTATTGTGTACGGTGAGTTCTTCATAAAGAATCGTACCCGGTAGACATGGTTCTAATTCAGTACGAAATTGTTTCTCTGCCAAACGTACCGATTTGTAAATGAGATCATAGGTAATCTTTCTTGTTTTACCCAAACAAATAATTCGACATTTGAAGTCTTTACTAAAATAGATCTCATAGACACATCTAACATCTTGAACAATATCTTGTATACTCCAATCGATGGTCAATATTTTTGATTCATAAGCAAAGAGGAAAAAGTCAGCTTGCTTACTATCAATATCGAATAGACCAATTGCGCCACCTTCTCGACGTAGTTTAACTCGAAGATCGAGTGCTGTTGGATTTTCTACAGTGAACGTTCGTTGCCGATGTGTATTCGAACATGCGAGTATTGTGCCAAAATCGATCAAATAAGTTTTGACTTGATTCGATGTTTGATCATCGCCTGTTGCTTCCGCCAGTGGCAGATCGATGCCAATGGTAAATTGTTTGATTTCGCAGCAAATAAAAACCGGTATGACCAATCGATTATTTGCCAATTTCAATTGCCACTCTTCTCGATATTTGCCCTGATTAGCTTGACCATTTGGAATTATTTTAATCGTATTCGAATCGTGTCGATCGATGACCGACGAAGAAGGATGAGCAACGAATACGGATAGAGAATTAAATGTTATTTCAAAATTAACATCGTCATCACTATTATTAATAATTTGTATTGTTTTAGTTTTTAATTGTGCATTCGACCAATTCTGAATGATTTGTTCTATTTGAATGATGATCGACAAATGAGATGCAAAATATTCACCATGCTGTTTATTAATCGTTATTTTACTCGTCGAAGGCGATCCGGTTGATTTCATCAGTGTCTTAACATTGACTGCTTTGCTTATTTCGTCCAGATTCGCTATACGTGGTGGTTGTATGGCCGGACGAATTTGTTTCTTTCGTTCGTGGATTAGAACGAATGTATCATCGATAATGACTTTACAAGCATCTAATTCTTTTTCACTGATCAACATTTGTTGATCTTCCTGAAGCCAATATTGTTTGATCTTATCGATGATACCAATCGCTTGTTCACAATGTTCTTTCGTGTCGAGTGGATGAACAATCAGTTGTATCAAATTCAATTCAATCAATATCAGAATACGATAGATCTGCAAGCCGAAATTCAGTTCGTCTCGAGCCAGGGCTAGGCCATCCTGGAGTAATGTTCGCAATTGTTTTGTAAAAAGTTTGTCGATATTTTCTTTCGATATGGATCCGTCGGAGTCAATTAATTGAACGAGAGAACCACTTCGTTGGAGATTTTCTAATGATCCCTCAAGTGTTTGGCGGAATACTCGGCTGGAAAGAAGAGCTTTTTGAATAACGATCGATGTGTCGTGTAGTTGTGATAGAGCAGCTGCTAATTTCTCGAAACGAAATATAGCTTTGAACTTTTCCATTTCTTGTCTCAAGGTATCAGCAGAATCAAACTCTAGGCCAATGCCATGTTGAATTTCGTTCAGTTCATTGTCATCAACGGTTTTATTCAACATGTCTAATGTTTGTACAATTTTTCCATTCAAATCTTCATATTTGGATGTCAGTTGAATCATGAGAAAATGATGCGTTGGAGGTGAGGATACATTTAATAATTTCATATCTTCCTTCATTGCAGCAACTGGCATTGACACTAGATGATCCTGTTTCGGTATACTGTAGTGCGTTGGTACAGTTGGCATTTTGTATGCGTTTGCGGTAGTGCTTTCAATTTCTTGGCACATGAATTTGAGATCCATGATCGAATTTCCAAGCTGTCGATTTCTTTCGAAAGGAGTTAACAGCTGATAGTTCGCTCGCAACTCACTAAATCGATCTTTCTTCACGTCATCCTCGCTCGTAGCTAATACTGTCCCTTTACTTGTGGCCGCCATCGATTTACCAATTTCGTCTGTTATCTCCGGCTCAGTAGTTTCCGTAGCCATCTCAAATAGTCGTATTGTAGTGCTTGGAGTTATCAGCAAAGTGATCGTACTTTTTCCGTATTTCCCAAATTCATAGGTAAACTGGCGCCCATCGGTCGACGACAAATCGGCATGTCGAAGAGGGATGGCAACCATTTCGGTCCATTTCTCGTCCTTTGAATCACCGGCTAGTAATCGCAAGATCCAAGTTTTTGCCGATACAGAAGTGGTATCTGCCGGTAGTTGTATTGAATGCTTAAATAAATCTTCCACGTAGTTTGATACTGTCAAGCTTTTCAATGGCTTCGGTCTACCTTCGACTATATCCATGTCATATCCTTTCCCAATCAGTTAGATTTTATTATCCCACATATTTCGGCGCCTCTGTTTATCTTTCGGTTTGTCATCTCGATATTCGACTTTTTTGACCTCGATTCGAACAGAATCAAGACAAATCAGATTTCTCAAATCTTTTCCTTCTTTGTCACTATCGAATTTGCACGATTGTGGAATAGTTTGCTGAATTTTAACTAATCGTTGTACGATTTGTACGGCATCATTGGTCAATGTTTCTGCATAGGCAATATCGAATTCGTTCGTTTGGAATTTTGCCTCATGTAATAGCATTCCAATGAGTTTGATTTTGTTCAATATGTTGATTGAAAGTGTTTTTGTTTTTTGAATTCGTTCTTCTACTTGACGACATTTCAATTTATACTCGTTTTCTAGACGACGATTTTGTTCTTCGATTGTTCGAACTCTACCAAAATATTCGTCGGCCATTCGTTGTACCCACCATTCTTTGATTTTCTGTCGGTGGGCTAAGAGAAGATCAATTTCTTTAGTCCATTCGTCAGTGGTCGATTTCACTTGTGTCAAACTCGGCCGCAAAGTAAGTCGATCTGCACTGTTCAAATCTAATTTCAATTGTTTCAAATTCATTGTCGACATTCGCATCAATTCGTAGCGAAGCAATTTCGTCAAACGAATTAGATAGACAACAACAGGTTCATCGTTCAGTAATTCCCTTTGATGATATTTCCCTTTGAGTTGACCAATGGTTTGTTGGAGGAAGAGAAGTATCTTTTGTCCTTCTTCATTCAATAGATTGAAAGCAAACGAATAACGTAATCGTTTTGTAGTCGAATTCAGATGACTCGTTGTTGGTGATGCAAATGAACGAAGTATACGCGGTGCTTGCGACCAACCTTGAATGAGAAATTGAGCCAATTGATTGTACCAATCGAGTTCTTCATTGATGTTGTTATCGTAACGAAAATGACGAATGAGATTTTCTTTGGATAAAGTTTCAAGCAAATGAATATGATCGAGTTGTGAACGCGTTTTAATTGTTGTACTGTAATGATCTTGTAAGGTGCCGATTTGTTTTTGTTGTTGTTGTTGAAGTAGTTGAATGAAAAAAACGATAAATTGATCGACAAAATTTTCGACTACCGATCGTATGTGACTCACTGAATCGACCAATTTCTTTCGTTCATTGTGTAAATTTTTAATAAAATGAAGACCTTGATCGAATAGTAAATCTAATTGATCTTTGAGAATATATTCTAAGAATTCTGTATACATGATTTCTGATGATGACGAACATGATAGAGTAATGGCCATTTTCAAATTGGCTAGAAACGGTTCGAGAGCTTTTAATGTTTCGGACTCGAACGTATCGTTTTCGTTTTCTAGAATTTTCGTCAATAAATATTGAGTATTATTGACGAGAACATTTAAATTATAACTAACTTGTACGAGGGGATTTATTTTCAGTATCGATTCTGTACCACGTCCGCCTTCATTCCAATCGCCGACTTCCAAGAGCACTTTCATTTTTCGTTCCAAATCATCGATTAATGCAGCTGGATTGTAGCAAATGTCGGCAAATGTGTGTGTATACCGAAGTTGTAAACTATATTCCAATAAGGAAAAGTCATGACACAAACGTTTGT